TCTTACAAAAGTATTACATGTTAACGACAAAAGCAAATGCCCTACGGGCTTACAGCTTTCCAAGTTAACACTTGGTTACAAAAAAAAGAGTGCTAACTTAATGCATATTAAGCCCTTGGCTTGAATTTACATGTAATACATCAAAAGAAAGCAAACAACAAAAGTAGTCTGTCTGCCTCTAGCCTCCCAAGCTATGTCTTTGGAGGTGGCATGCTACCTGTACTTGAAAATGATGTCTCATATAGGATGAGCCACATCCCAGTAGAAATATACTAAACCAACTATGAACAATGACAAAAATAACAGTATTCGATAGATGGCCCACACTGATATTCCCACTTACAACATATCACAGTTTCATGACATTCAAGTCCATGTTACATTTCATTTCTCACTTCCTTTCAACTTTAAGTTTGAAAACAAGGCTCAGAATCTAGCCAAATAACTCAATGAAATTATGATCCATCGTTAAAACACTTTTGGAATTCATGACGGATACACATTTTGATACTGTATCAATAACACATAAACCACTTCCGTCCTTCACGAAGGATACACATTTTGGTGCTGTATCAATATAACATAGAAATACTTCTATACTTCACAATTGATAACGATATACATTTTAGTGCTATATCAAATCAATTTAAACACTTCCATAATCAACACTTGATACACATTGTAGTGCTGTATCAATGTCACACAAAATCCGATTTAGAGGTCCATTCCCCATCTTTCAATAAACCGTGGAGTACATCCCCCATCTCCTCCCACACAATACAATGTATAGAAACAATCATCATATACAAATTCAATCAATCAATACACATTTTAGTGTTGTATTGTACCAATCACCATATTCAATGGCTTACTCAATTGATTAGTTTTAGTTTGTCTAATTTCGATAGCATACTCAATCGATTAGTTTTAGTTTGCCTAATCATCATGCATTGTCTACAAGAATCAAGACTATCCTCCACCGATAGCCCAAAGCAGTTATCTCTAAACAGGAAATAAATGCATCAAATGGACAACATATCAACATTTGTTTAGGTGAGCGATAAATTAATCCAACTCCACCCTTTAATTCCATACCTTTCCGATTTGAATATTTCCTATTCAATTTCTCATTTCCCAAAATTAATTATACAAATTAATTTATCAATAATTAGGGCTTTTTCCCATAATTACAACACCAACCCTAAGGTTCCATTTTCATCAATAATCCCAACATCAAGTCCATTTTCCAATGTATTACATACTTAAAGGTTTTAAACTTTGAAAACCCCTCTTTTGAAAATTACCCAATGACCCCAAACTTTCTTGAAATCACCCAACAACCCCCAACATATCGAAATACCAAAATTCAAAGACAAAGCTCATAAGATGGAATAGGATATCCCTACCTCGAAGTTAGAGCTCAAACGGGGAAGTTGAAGAAAACCAAAATGCTCCAAATACCAAGATCCACAGATCAAAATGAAGCACTCGACGATCAACACCCTTTTTACAAAGGCCGAAGGATAGGGGGACACTCTAACTAGATCAAACCCTAGAGAGAAGGGAGATCCTAGAGAGAGAAGCTCTCAAAAAGTGTTTTTAGAAAGTAAGAGAGAGAGAGAGAGAATGTAAAAAGTGCTTTTAAAACGCCTAGCTGCCAACTGATATACGACATTCCCGCTCGAGCGGAGAATAGAATGACAACAAGATAGATACAACTACCAACTCCACGGTACCGAGTCCGGAATACAACTGAACAATAAAGGGACAACCGGGATCGCTATATTTTTTTTTTCCTCATTTTATCACAGATTTGCAAATCATCATGCCACATGAAAAGATATAAGAATGAAAACTTTTGATAAAATATTTAAATGGTATTAAACATTAATCTATTTGAACAAGCTTCCCCAGTTATCTTTAAAGTATGTAAACAATTATTTTTGTTTGATTCCCTCATTGATCTATATATCAACAATGATAAACACTCTTGTTTTGGAGGACCCCTATAACTCCCAAAGTGATCCACACCACTCATAATGTGGGTCCCACACATCATGAGTGGTGTGATCATTTTGAGATTGTGGAGGTCCTCCAACAAAAAAGGGGCACTTTTTTCTCTATATATATAGCTTCCCAAATATGTAAACAATTATTTATCTGCACCAAGAAAGGCATACTAGCTATTCGAGTTCTTCATACAAACACACACACACACACACACACTCACTCTCTCTTAACAAACAGTGAGTGTAAGAAATGTGGCAAGTTGGGTTGTGTGTAGTAGCTGTGGTTACCATATTGATAAGTCAATGGCTTGACAAGTGGAGGAACCCAAAGTCCAATGGAGTTCCGCCTCCAGGATCTATGGGTCTCCCATTCATTGGAGAGACACTTCAACTTCTTATTCCCAACCACTCCTTGGATCTCCATCCCTTCATTAAGAAGAGAATTGAAGAGTACAATACAGTAATAAGCTTTTATGTGTACTACTTTGTTTTGTTGTTTTATTTATTTAGTAGTATTTTATTTGAATATATTATTATTTATGATGGTTGTTGTGAATTTGTACTTGGACACAAACAAACAAACAGGTATAGGGGATGTACTCCACGGTTTAGGGGAAGATAGGGGATGGACCTCTAAACTGGATTTTGTTTGGGAGGAGATAGGGGATGGACTCCATTAGCATCACTTTTATGTGTGCTTATTTATATTGAAGTGTTTTTATTGATACAACACTAAAATTTGTATCAAACTAGAAGTATGAAGTGTTTTGATTTGAGCCTGAGTCTCATATGTTTGTTGACATTTGAAGAATGTGAATTTGATATATATATATATATAGTTCACTGTTGTAAGTTTGGCCAGGTTCTGAGCCATATTGATAACGTTGGAAAGTAAAACGTGTCTTAGACATTACTGTCATGAAACTATATAATGATGTAATTGATTATCTTGGTTAACCATCTATTGAATGCTATTGCTTTATTCAATGCTTATATTTGGTTTAGTATATTTCTACTGGGCTGTGGCTCACCCTTTATGGGAACATCATTTTCAGGTTCAGGTGATAAGCTACCTCCAAGGACTTAACTTGGAAGGACTTAGATTTTGAAGACCATTTTCAGTTGTTTGCTTTTATTTACATGTAAACATTCAAGCCTAGGGCTTTATTTGTATTTGAGTTAGAACTTATATTTTTGTGTCCAAGTGTTGTTTGGAAAGATGTAAGCCCATAGGGCATTTAATTTGATATTACATGTAATGTTTTCAATTAGTAATACTCTGATGAATGAGATAATGAATTGTTTTCTTTTAATATTACATGCCAATGGTATATATATAATGGGTTATTTGAGGGCGTTACAGGTATGGGATAGTGTTTTCAACAAACTTGGTGGGAAGGCCAATTGTGATAACAGCAGATCCGAAGCTGAACAATTACTTGTTTCAACAAGAAGGGAAGGAAGTAGAGCTGTGGTATTTGGACACATTCCAGAAGGTATTTCGGCTAGAAGGTGAAGCCAGGCTTAACGCTGTTGGTCGCATTCACAAGTATGTCAAAGGCTCCTTCTTGACTCTCTTTGGTGTTGACAGCCTCTGGACTAAGGCCCCGTTTGGGGATTTACTTTTTTAGCCAATTAGCCAAAAAGTTACTAAATTAGCCAAAATGCCAACAACTCATACCAAAAAGTCAAAGATTCTCTTTTCTCTCTACTTTTTGCACATCTTTTCGTAATTAGTCAAAAAGTCATCCCAAACATACAAGTTTTTTTTACCTACCTTTTTAGTCAAATAGCCAAAAAGTTACTAAATTAGCCTGTTCCCAAACGATGCCTAAGTTGCTTTCTGAAATTGAAACCACCATTCACACTAACATCCACCGCTGGTCTACCCAAGGAACCATTGATGCCAAAAAAGAAGCTGCTAATGTATGTATCTCTTTGTACTATTATTATTATATATAGATTATATATAGAGTAAAGTAAAGTAAAGGTTGTATTTCTATATACACAAGGCTGGACTTGGTGTATTGAAATTTTTACTTCTCTTTGCCTCTGTTTGGGAAGTGGGTTGGCTTTTTGGCTATTTTAGCCTGGGCTAAAAAGCTTGGTTTGGGAAGGGCTTTTTGGCTTTCTGGTTCTTTTGGCTTTTTTTGTGAGAAAAGAGTGTAACAATTATGGGTTGGATGTGATGTTTTGCTTGTTGTGGCTAAAATAGCCTATTTTGTCTTTTGTGGCTAAATTAGCCCCAAACCTCCTTGCCAAACAGAGCTTTGCTAATTTCTGGACTTTGGTGTTGTTCTGCTATTTTGTGTTTGTGTTTGTCTTGTTGTCTTGAAGTTTGATTGCCTGATAGTCTCTGCTGCTAATCTCTTCTTTTTTGTGTATTTTTCATCTAAGTCTGATGTTGTAGTAGCATCTTTTGCTCTCTGGTTTGTTGGTTCCTCAAAAAATAGAAAATAAAATACAAATGCACCGCATTTACACTTTTTGAGTTAATCAATATACCTGGAACTTATTATCTTTGCATCTGATGATAACAAAAATTGATTATAAATATGTATAGATTTATGTCCTTCACGATCGAGATAGAAGACACGTTATCTTTTCATAGGTTTAAAGGTTCAATCGTCAGATGTTCAATTTTCGACAAGAGAAGTACTTATGACTTTGTAATAATTTCCAATGAAGAACAAGATACCTAACTGTCATTGCAAGAAAAGACAAATATGAGATAATTAAATCAGATTAACCCCTCTCAAAGCACAGTATACAAAGCATGCAACAGTCCCATATCCAGTTTAAGTTTGATATGGAAAAAAGAAACTGGTATATGAATTGTTTCAGGAAGAAAAATAGCAAAAAGATGGATAACAAGAGGACCATAGGCATAGCTAAAAAAGATGGAGGCTTCTCAGTGGTGAGGATAACTGGAAGGGCTTGTTAGATCCTCTAGACATCGATCTTCGACGGTACATCATTCATTATGGAGAAATGGCTCAAGTAACTTATGACACCTTTATCTCTGAGAAACTATCAAAATATGCAGGATGTAATTGGTATGCAATGAAGGATCTCTTTGCTAATGTGGGCATAGAGCAAGGGAATCCATTCAAGTATCGCGTGGCCAAGTACTTGTATGCGACATCATCAATCCCGCTCCCTGATGCATTTATATTGAAGTCTTTGTCGAGGGAAGCATGGAGCAAGGAATCGAATTGGATGGGATATGTCGCGGTGGCCACAGATGAAAGGAAGGCTGCTTTAGGGAGAAGAGATATTGTGATTGCTTGGAGAGGCACAATCCAGGCCTTGGAATGGGTTAATGACTTGGAATTTGTTTTGGTCTCTGCTTCAAAAATACTTGGAGAAAAAAATGATCCTAGTGTGCATCAGGGTTGGTACTCCATCTACACTTCAGATGATCCAAGATCGCCATTCAATAAGGTCAGTGCCAGAGACCAGGTAACTTAATTTAAATACAAATTACATATAAAGCTTATACAATTTACATGTAACAATATCTTTCGAGACAATAATGAAGATAACATAGTTTTTCTTGTATTATGTTTTAGGTTCTTGGTGAGGTTAAAAGACTTGTGGGAGAGTATAAGAATGAAGAAATTAGCATTATTATAACTGGCCATAGTTTGGGTGCCACTATTGCAGCACTAAACACAGTTGACATAGTTGTTAATGGATTAAACAAGCCTAGAGACCAACCAAACAAGGCGTGTCCCGTGACCGCCTTTGTGATTGCCAGTCCTAGAGTTGTAGATTTGGGCTTCAAAAAGGTCTTTTCTGAGTCAAAAGATCTTCGAGTACTACGCATCCATAATGCCCTAGATATTGTTCCAAACTATCCATTGATAGGATACTCAGATGCGGACGAAGAATTGGGTATTGACACTACCAAATCCGAGTATTTGAAGAGCCCTGGAAATTTGGAGAATTGGCATAACTTGGAGGCTTACTTGCATGGAGTTGCAGGAACACAAGGATCAAAAGGAGGATTCAAGTTGGATGTTAAACGCGACATTACACTTGCCAACAAAGGAATTGATGCCTTGAAGGATGAATATTGTATACCGGTATCATGGTGGTGTGAGAAGAACAAGGGTATGGTTCAATAGACGGATGGCTCTTGGAAGTTGATGGATCATGAATTAGATGATGATTTCTAAATCTTCATATTCATGGTTGAGGCAATTGTATTTTTTTTTATGAGCAAAAAGTAATAGTTTATAATAATAGTAAAACATTATAAAAGAAAGGCATAACTGAAGAAAAAGCAAGTGGTAAGATTAAATTTAATTATTTAGTTATTATGGCAATCCATATAATATGGTAACATGAATTATAAATTTAATAAGATTAGAATTTCATATTTTAAACCATAAGATAATTGGTCGATAGATGGAATAGTTTCCTGGTTTGATGCGCAAATGGAATAAAATTGAATGAGGAAACTGGTTCTCTCTCTACCTATAAAAGTGTATTTAGATCACCCATCAATTATTCTAAATATAACGTATTCTAAATAGGGTCAAGAGAGAGAAACTTTTTTTTCCATTAATATTGATATCAGGTTTATGTTCAATCAATTTTGGATCACTTGAAAGTTTCACATAATTGATCCAGGTATGTTATTTATTTTCCGCATTATGTTTTGTTTGTGAAAATCATGATAATTCACGATTTTGGACTATAAAGTTTATTATATGCATAACACCATCAAATTATTTACAAGTGGTACCAGAGCATTGGTCAGAAAATATCATGATTTTTTATTAAATAAAATTAATGAATTCAATTTATGTCTGTGATTGATTGTTTGTATATTAATATTAATTGTGAGACATGATTCGAATGGATTACGATTTCGAAATTGTGGTCAAGTTTGATTATGATTTTATTGTGTATATATATTCAATGAATAATAGTTATGACTCTACAATGCATACTTTATAATTTCACCCATTATTTTGATAAAGTTATGTTATCCATCGGTTTGTGGAACACTTTTGATTAATGACACTTCCATGATCATCTATATTGGTGGTAAAGATTATGTTAAATTATTATTTTCAAATAAATTGAATAAATTAATATTTGAATAATTGAATATTTTGCATGATTTAATTGTCTTTATTATGAGAAAAGACTTAATGGGTGATGATCACTATATTGTTTAATCTAGTGTTTGTAAAATTTAAATAATACGTAAACATATTACATAATGAATTGTTGTTATTCATGTTTTTCTAAATTGTGTTGTCAAATTTTATTGTGGAAAAATACATTAAAATTTTATTGCAATCTTTACAGTACCAAGCTTATTACTATTAATGAATCTAACCGTAATCTCTAAAAATTATTTTACTATGATGTTATGACCACTATTATGTAGAAGTTTGATTTTTATGAGTGATTTGATGAGATACAGAAGTATGTATTTTTATATGACATGAAATATGAATTGCGCTAATATTTGTCATGTCATAATATTATCCTTATGATTTTGTAATATGCGTTATGATGATTATGATGATGAATAATTGTGAATAAATCATTATTTATTCTCTAATTACTACGCAAAGTTTTTTTTTTCAATTTTGATTCGAAATCTAAACTATGATACGATTGGTAGTTGTCAAAGTGACCCAATCAGAATAACACATATGTTAGATTTTTCTAATTAGTAATCCCATTTGACAAAACTCCTTTCAATTGTAATTTTATTCGCTCTTTTGTTTCAGTAAGGATGTGAGTGTTTAGATGTGAATCCAACCCCAATTGTGCCTATGAAGAGGAGTTTGTGATCTTGAGGCTTTTAACTTTTCCACTTCATTGACTATGTACAGGGATTGAGCTTACCTGGTCAGCTTGCGAGGGTCCAAGGGGCAGCGCCCCATGGTAGGTCTGGGGCAGCGCCCCTGAACCAAAATCAAAAATGCAGTTGAAGTTATTTGATCACTCTAGCTGTCATTTGTGTGCTCGAGCGGAGAAAAGGGTCATCCAGTATTTTTGCAGAGCATCTGAACTTTTGAGAATCAAGTTTTATTGCTCGAGCGGTGAATGTTGCACTCTAGCAGCTAGCTTATATGTTTTGTACCGCCTTTACTCGCATTGCTCAAGTGATCTTCGTAATCTAGTATACTATAAAGTGCGTTGTTTACTCATTTTAGGGTTTGAGTCGTCCAGATTTTCAGAGAGGAAGAAAAAACAAAGGTTGCATTTGGTTTAGTTTTGGAATTGTGATTCTCTTTTTGGAGTTGTGATTTGAGTGTAGAATTGTGAGCTGAGTTTTGAAAAGAGAAAATTTGTTTAGTTATAAGTTTTGAAGAATGTTTTGAAAAGTGTTTTGAAAGTGGTTTTTGAGTTTTGAATTTTAAAAAGAACAGATTGGGTTTACCCAGACATTCTCCCGAACATCCGACCGGTTGACCGGAACAGTGATTTTTTTTTTTTTTTTTTGCAAATTGCAACCTATTATTTGAAAAAATATATATATTATATATATATATATATTTGTTTTAGATATTTTTTAAATATAGAAATTAGTTTTTGATGATTTGTTATAAAAATAATTTAACAATCTCATCACTAACCATCTTTAACACTATATCACCAAAAGAGTTTTGAATTAAGTTTTGTGTTGTGTGTTTGGTTATAAGTTTTGAAATTAATTTTTGAATTGAGTTTTGTGTAATTTTTAGTTGTGTGTTTGGTTATGAATTTTGAAAAGCGTTTTAAAAGGTGTGCCCTTGGAATCAGTCAAACCAAATAGAGCCAAAGTGTTTTATATTGGAGAGTGCTTTATGAGTGTTTCCTTGCTAATATAAGAGTGATCAATGGATCCATGAACGTCATATCAACATTATCAAGGGTTTGTTTGTTTTCTTTTATTCGCAAAAGAGAGAGTAGTTCTTTAGTGGATTTCGAGGAATTTGGGCCTAAAGCTTTGGTAGATTCTGGAGTGGCTCATCGTTGCCGATTCGACATCAGCGTTCTGGATTCAATGTTAGACAAGACAATTTTGAGGTAAAGACGGTGGTGGAATAGACACATTATGATCGGTACAATTCAAGCGTGGATTCGCTAAGTAATTGTGATGTCTCGAGTCTCCTCCAAACAATTTGAGAATACTAATCTGTAATTTCTGTCTCCTTTAGTTGTCTTCGTCACTACTAAGCCGTTTGAGTCCCATATTGTTATCTATTCTTCCTTATGATTACTCATGAAGTATTCCGAGATGTCATTTGTACTTTAGGTGTGGGAGTGAAATCAGGGAAAATAGGGGAAATGTTTTGAGGCGGTTCTGTTTTACTTTCAAGTTGAGACCACTCGAGCGGTCCTTTCGTAGCTCGAGCAGTAATGTCGACCTCTCATTATCTAGTTTTGCAGTCTGAACTTCTAGGAGTTTGTATTCTTCACTCGAGCTAAAGTTTTTATTGCTTGAGCAGTTTTTTGCAAGGAGGAGAGAGATTCGGGGAGTTTGAATTGTTCGCTCGAGCGCAGGTTTCTGTTTGCAGTCTACTCTGAAAAATGTGTCCAATCACTCAAAAGTTGAGCCCTTACACATTTTTCTTTCACTTTTCACTTCACTCTCTCTTTCTCTCTCTCTCTCTTTTTCTCTACATTAACTATCACTTTCTTTTCTCTCATCTTTCTCTAGAAACCATCCACCAACTTCATTTACTTCCTTGATCTCTCCTGCGTTGTTAATTTATGTTCTTTTTTAGATGGATAATGTAAGAGAAGGAAAAGAGAACGTTATGCACTGTTGAGCAAATTGGACGAATTTTTGGAAAACCATATATATAAGTATACCTTGATTATGAACCATTACTTATTTATATTGCATGATATGAAGCATTCATGATCATAGCCATTAATATGTTGTTATTGTTTAGAATCCTGTTGGGATCCCTACTGAACTTTATGTTCATCCCACTTTGTTAATCCTTTTTTAAGTATAAGTTTATAAATGACACAAGATCGGTGATCTTCCTTACGTGTTGGCCATGGGGCCCTTATTTGTTGGTGAAATGCCGTTGATGTAAAGAGGGTTGAATCCTTTCTCTTTTATGTAGTAGTGTAAGCCTACGGGTAATTTATTTAATTGTAATTCATGTTACATTTCAATTTGTAAATGAAATTGAGGGAACCTTTATATATTTATGGATGTTAGTGGATTTCCTTTCCGTATTGTATTAATGAAATGGACTATAATGACAAACTTGGTAATGTTAACCGGATAATAAAAAGTGGGGCGTGACATTGGACTTCATTCATTAAACCCTTTATATTGGTGTTACTCATTGGGTTTTAGCTCACCGCCTTCCCCTATATATACGTAGGTGAGCATTTAGGAGATCAAGTTTAGAGTTTTGCTTTCGTAAACTTTTGTGAAGCTTTTGGAAGTGACACCGGAGTCGAGGCCCATGTTGCCTCCTTTGGAATGTTTTTGAGAAGTCTTCAGTTTGGAACTTGTAATATGAATGTTTGTTTTTCATGTAATATGTGTATGTAAAATATAAATATATGATTGTCATATCATGTATGCACTGCTTAATATAAATATAAATATATGATTGTCATATCATGTATGACACCCGAGCCGAGGCCCTTGTTGCCTCCTTTGGGATGTTTTTGAGAAGTCTTGAGTTTAAAACTTGTAATATGAATGTTAGCTTTTCATGTAATATCTTTATTATGTGTATGTAAAATATAAATATATGATTGTCATATCATGTATGCATTGCTCAATGGGCAATGTTATTTTTGTTTTGCTTCGACTTTAGGCCCCATTATTAAATATTTTTTTTTTTTTTGGTTTTTGTTAGAGGCCATGTAATCTATGATTACTGGTCAGTCACCACTCCAACCTTTAAGGGCAAGCTAGGATCATGACAGTAAAGTAGGCATTAAAGGGTGATATTTTGCTGACATCAACAAATTTTATGAGGTTAAATAATGGTTGACTCACATATGGGTTCATTTATCACACAAAATTCTAAGGTAAGTGGGTGTCCATTTGATTTTAAGGAATAAGGAGGTGACAATATGATTTAAGAAAAATTCAAGAGGTGTTAGTGTAATTTTCCCAAAAAACATAAAACATAAAACA